GCTGACAATGCCACTGGATACTTTTACTTGCGTGTTGAGGTAAGGGAGCCAACCGTCGTGTGGTGTTTCATGCGTGAGTCTGATGTACTGACGACTGTACAAAACGAGCAAGCTTTACAGGCGTTGTCCGAGATGCTTTATAGGCATGCTAGTACCATACACACATTTGGACTCAGTAAAGGGCAAAAATAACGTTGGTGAAGGAATGCTTAGGCTGCAACATTTTTAAATGGGCAGGGACATACTTTTCACAAGTACGAGGCCTCGCCATGGGTCAACGACTAGCACCGGTTCTGGCTGTCTGCTTCATGGGTAGGATCGAAGAACCAGTGCTAGAACGTCGTCCAATAATGTACTGTAGATATATCGATGACTGTTTCATCATAACGTCAACACAGTCCGAAATGGACGAATGTTTCCGGATAATGAATGAACAGTCGCAGTACATTAGACTCACACGAGAAACACCACACGACGGTTGGCTTCCCTTACCTCAACACGCAAGTAAAAGTATCCAGTGGCATTGTCAGCGTGAAGTGGTACCGTAAAGCCAGTTCAAAGAATATCTTGCTCCACGCTACGTCAGCTCATCCACAAGCCGTCAAACGTGCAGTAGTTAACAACATGCTGAGAACAGCAACGAATATGTGCACAGGCGAGGCTGAGCGTCAAGAATCACGACGCTTAGCATGTGAGATAGCTGCTATGAACGGTTATACGGTGCCACAGCGTCCTGTAGACAGCGCAGCAACATGCGAGAAGGTCCGCGCCTCAACAAATTGCCGCTATGTCTTCCTTTCATCTCCGATTCGATAAGCACTGCGATACAGCGAAGTATTGTTAGAGAACAGCTGCAGTTTCGAAATCAAGTGCACAATATTGGAGCAGGAGACGAAAATCTCGGCAAGGAAAGGCGCTAGAGGCGTTCTGGATTTCCGACAGAAATCCCAGGATGAACAACCGAGATGAGCGTCGTCAATAACCAGTGAACTTTCGCCGTTTATACCGTAATGCGAGTTGTAAGTAGTCGGTTCTACGTGCGTCTCCTTCACCTTATGCGCATAAGGAGGTACTTAGTAAGTCTCATTTCCTACTGACTAACATCCGCATGTGACGGCGGATTCACGGTGGAGTTCTGGTGAGTGCACGTTTCGTAATGTGTAGGATTTCCTTGTTGAGTTCCGAACACATCATCGGAACTGCTAGGGTTGGTTGGGCGCTTGGCGGGGTAGTGTTCATCTCCTTAACTCGAAACGTTTAGGCCTCTGAAGAAGACGACCCTGTCGAAACGTTAGGCCGTTAATAAAGATTCCACCTAAAAACCTCGAGAGGCACAGCAATGTTAACGAAATTTGTTAATTTGAACTCAACTATCACACGCATACTAACACCTTGAAGACACAGTCCGCAATTTCTCAGAGCAGAATCCCTTTTGCGCCAAAATCTCGGTCCACAAATGCACCAAATGTACAGCGTTGGTGGTCTAAAGGTGGGTAGCAAGTGTGCCAGAGCTCTCATGAAGGTCAGGCTCCACCCCTCGTGGCCCACACCCATCCTTTAACTTCAGTATGCCGGTATGACTTTGCTCATATGTGTGCTCTCTCGCCAATGTCGTCTGTCTTTCTCCAGAATGCTCAGTGTCCCTTTGTCATGTATCCATACAAGATTCAAAACAACAAGCAACCCTACTCAGACTGTTTTTGATTTAGTTCGCCTTGTGCTTCACTGGTAGCAAGCATTTACAGTTTCGATTCCGCAACCTACTCGCCACAATTAGCAATCGCAAACTTTGTCTTCAAATTATGCTTGTCAACACAAATAAGCAATAAACTCCCACCTCGCTTTCCACAACATCGTACGTATCCAGCTCAACGTTAGAATCCTGAAATCAATCAAGAGAATCAGCTATTCTGCAACTGCTGCATTTCCTTCTCTAGTGTCGTACTTTTCTTATCCAGAATCTGTCACATTTTATCGCAGTCTATGGAGGTATCGGAAAACCAGGGTTCTACAAAAATAAAAACGTAAACGCTGAGAGACTCTACAACAACATGTGGGATGTGAGTAGGGGGTATGTGACAAGAATCGTAATTCGCCGCGCTGGTGGGCGTCGCGTGCGACGTCGCCCTCGCAAATGACGACGGTTCCAGGTAGAGGATGGCGACAACAAGCAATTCAGAACCTAAAATAGTCATGAATGTCTACGATGACGGGGTCTACATGAAGTCCGGTGCTCCAATCGACAGGTTAACACGAGTTAAGAAACTGCCGCGCCTATCGCGGTTCTCCTGCCTGTTCCCGTAAAAAAAACTGGGTTGAATGTTTTCATTCAAGTGTGATAGTAAGCCCATGGCAGCCAAAGCTGACAAAAGGAAGCTTAAAGACACATGGTACGCTCAAACACATTGAGGGTGTATGAGACTATCAGCCCCCCAGCTGTCGATGTGTCGTGGTCCCCCGCCCAAAACTGCACGGGGTCAGAGTACGGGGCCGTGGGAAAGTCGTAATTCCTTGCTACGCCGCCCGTTTCGTTTTTACTAACACCGTCCGCGCGGCGCGGTCGCGTGCAGCTCTCTTGGCTTTTTGCCAAGTCCTGTAATTGCGCTTTGGAATACAAGTACAACGCAATTTCTTTATGCGGATAACATTTTGCTGCAAAATAAGAACCGAAGATGATGACGAGGGCTAGAACTCAAGAGCAACTGTGGTGCTTCTGCAATATCCCTCAGAGGCCGCGCATTCCCACAGAACATGACAATAAAAACGGCCTAAGCGTCCCACTCGTTAGTTTGAAGTATTTCTATAGCTTTAGAGCCGGATTCGAGCCGGATCGCAGAAATGCACACGCGATTTTAATTTATTGCGTTTCCTTAGTTTTTTCAATTTTGTTTTATTTACATCTACATTCGTTGTTGTTCATTTCTAGCCTTTGTCATCTTCATCACCTTCTATTCGGACTTTGAAGCATGAGCAATACCTCAAATGTTAGGAAATTGCGTTTTGCTTGTATTGTCATGTCATGTTGTCCGTTTTTATTGTCATGTTCTGTGGGAATGCGCGGCCTCTGAGGGATATTGCAGAAGCCACAGTTGCTCTTGAGTTCTAGCCCTCGTCATCATCTTCGGTTCTTATTTTGCAGCACCTAAAATGTTATCCGCATAAAGAAATTGCGTTGTACTTGTATTCCAAAGCGCAATTACAGGACTTGGCAAAAAGCCAAGAGAGCTGCACGCGACCGCGCCGCGCGACGGTGTTAGTAAAAACGTGAGTTTGCGAAACGGGCGGTGTAGCAAGGAATTACGACTTTCCCACGGCCCCGTACTCTGACCCCGTGCAGTTTTGGGCGGGGGGACCACGACACATCGACAGCTGGGGGGCTATAATAGTCTCAGGACTTGACCACGTTGAGGCGTCGACTGTAAATGTGTCGTTTTATATATTTCTACATCGCGCTTCAATTCAAACATGGACGTAGGATGTGTTTTTTTGATATTTGGGACTGTGCCATCCTATCTTATGCTGAGCGAAGGCACTACTTCAGTTGCCTCACAACAGCAATATCCCACCGAGGACACCTCCGTTACGTTTAAACGGAGCGTGCTGCCACGTTTTCCTCATCCCTGGCATATGAGGTGTGTGTAGTTGATAACGTCGCAATCGGGCGGGGCGGTGCCAAATGCCCGCCTCCGGCTGCTTGTTCTAGAAACGGTGGATTAGTGATCGATCCAGTAAGAAAACAGTCAGTGAATGAAGCGCCTCATTTTGAGCTTCTTCCATGCTTCTTGACACACCCCGAGTGATTGCGACGATATAAGCTGTACTGTTTGCTGGTTTGTCTGTTCCTCGGCTCTTGATTTAGGAACAGAGGAAGAGCGGAATTGTGACTGGTGCTACCCTCTCCTAGGGAAAACAGCCGTCGAAAGGTTGGCGACCCATTTCAGAAATACAGCTATAATTGAAATGGCGGGGCACTCGCCATTTTTCACATGATACAAGCGGGTAGACCGCATTAGCCAATGTTGTGGTCGAAATCAGCGCAAATATTCAGAAACAGCGCATTCAGGCAAAGAACGACAAACTGTACGGTCACCTCTGTGGATTCTGCTCCTTGCCATGTGGTGGGTCTCAGCTGCAGCGGCATACCACTTTCCCCAGTTAAAAGTGCACAAAAAGGGGCTGGAGGGTAGTGATACCCGGAAGCCCCGCACTCTGCCAGCGCTAAACCACAGACAGTCGCACGCCTGACCATAGCCAAACGCGCTACTTGTCTGTGCCCTCTCACTACTGACTGCTTTCTACCGCTGACTACATGTTCAGTGCGGATCTGGATAAGCGGATGGGTATCGACACAAGTGCTGGACATCGTGGATGGCGCAGGTGGAACATGGAGACGACACCCGGGTACGACCACCCCGTAGTCCATTCCCGTGGCTTTTTGAGCGGGTGGCACGCTACTGCAGCTATGAGTCTATTCATTCACCGGAAACGATTGTCCTGGTGAGTGCACAGTCTGTCTTAAAGACAGCGTCCGCGAACGACCAAGGTGCAGAAATCCTTTACAGGAAGATGGCGGGGCTTGTGACCGCAGCGGATATCCTTTTTTCGCGGCTCAAAAACGATTGATAAAAGCACGACAGCTCGGCAACGACAAGCTGGCTCCACCATTGAAGGAGGAGTCAGCAAGTCCACCTTCGATCATTTTTTCATTACCAAGATTCGTTAGCGGTGATAATTGCTAATCTTATCGAATATGCCTTGGAGAATGAGTCGCAGCAAGTGGCGATTAGATTCACTCGCCCAAAGTTCGATTAAGTCGTCTATTCTCAATCCCGTACATGAGGTCTTTTAAGGCATTTTCAACGGGTTCTTTTGCATTCTTCTTCTTCAGCGTTGTACTTACAACGTGACCTAATGGTTCTAAGCTCTACAACATGAGAAAGGCAATGGCACGAGCTGTCTTCAAGAGCAAAAGAGTAACGAAAAAGGAATAGGCAAGAAACCTTCGGATAAAAAGGTTTCACGGTGTAATCGTCGCACCCAGAAACACGTGGAAGAGTATTCACTGCGAAATCACACGAGTCTCGCAAATCACATTCCTTGGCAACGCGAGCTATGGCCAGTCTCCAGTTCCGTTTCCATAAGTCTGGAAAAAAATAACTATTAGCTATGTTCTTGCAACATTCAAAACACAAAAAGCACCTCCGTATTCTTGGACAAGGATCAGCATCATTTCCACGCTAAGCCGAAGAGAAACAAGCCGTGGACATGAGGAAGCTATATGACGAATAAGATCAATGAGACGATCTCGTTGCTCCGACAAAGGCATGGCGATTATGCTCAAACGACGAACATCGGAGAGGTAATCAGCAACGTGATTCAGCAACTCCTCAGCACATCGGATTCCCCACACCTGTGGCAAAGGATCGTTTAAAGATAAAGAAATGAAGTGAGAAAGAGAGGAGATCGAAAGGACCAGTTTTCCTGTGAATTGATCTTTCATGCTTGTACATTTATCAACTACCTTGAGCATAAACACGGAATAATCATAAAACTTCGGTACTATTCAACTACTACTACCCAAAAAGTCAAGAAATTTTTTTGCTGAAACTTTGCCCACAGAGGTAATTCGGTGTCCTGATCACGAATATAGCACTCGTTTTCAGCGCTGGCGAAAAATTGGCGCCAGTTTGGCGCCGCCACCTTTCACCAAATTCGGTGTAAATTTGCACAGCAGGGTTATTTGATGTCCTGATCACGAATACCGAATTAGTTTTCAGCCCTGACGCCATTTGGCGCCATTAGGCACTGATTTGGCGCCACACCCTTTTTTATCAAAATCGATAAAAACCTGCATAATGGGGCTGTTTGATGCCCTGATCACGAATATGACATTTATTTTTCGACGCCAGCGCCATTTAGCGCTTTTCTAAGGCTGAGCCTGGGAGAAAGAGTGATTTCCTTCAGGTCAGGCTCAGCCTTAGCAGAGCGCAGATGATCGCAGCGTCTTCCATCAGCGCCAGCGCCAAAAATGTGTGATATTTGTAATCAAGATGTCAAATAACCTCCGTATACAAGTTTTCAGTGGGCCAGGCGGTTTCAGGCCGAGCGGATGTGATATTCGTGTTCAAGAGGTCAAACTGCGCCTGGGGACAAGTTTTCAGCAAACTGGGGTTTTGGGCCGGCACCTGTGGCGCGGGCGCCACGCACTTTCGGGCCAAACGGATGTGATATTCGTGTTCAGGAGGTCGAATTACCCTGGAACCCAACTTTCAGCCAAATCTACCCTCGTAGAAAAAAGTCGAAAGATCCGGCCTGTTTTCGGAAATAGGGATAGTAATAGTTGAATAGTGCCAAAGCTTCCCGTGTAAACGATATGGCTTGAGAATCGGAAGCACAGCTCGTGTTGGACGTGTGGGCGGAGTCAGTCAACCACTTAGGCATCCCTCAATAACACGCCCTTCCTCTATATATAACATTACATAGAGGGGCACCAATGGGGAAAGCACATGACGGCCTCCGTCCGATCTGGACGG